ACTATATAATCCTTGTGACCACTGTCAGATATATCGCCTCATTCATGCATATTATAAATTTGAACTACATAGACATTTTCCCATTAATAGGATCCAACACCCCTAGATCGTCACCACGAAGTGTGACAGGGAAGTCCAGTGAAGGCTCCTTAAATGGCAGTGGTAAGTTATATAATCCATAATAATTATAAACTCCTTGTGTTAAGTTATTATATAACCCTTTTAATCCATGTTATCACTCTAAAGTTATTATATAAAATTTGTAAACCCTTATGTTTTAATATAATTTTTGTAATCATAGGTACTAAATTATTTATTTTTATTTATTATATTCCGGGTAATTGTTGTAATCACTGCTTTTTAGCTCACCTGAGCCGAAGGCTCAAGTGAGCTTTTCTGATCACATTTTGTCCGTCATCCATCCGTCTGTCTGTCTAGCTGTCCGTCTGTCTTGCTGTCTGTCCGTCTGTAAACTGTTCACATTTTCGACTCTTCTCAAGAACCGCTGGGTCAATTTTGATTAAACTTTGGAGAAGAATCAAATTTTTACATAGAAATATATAGGAAAAATCTTTTAAAATCTTCTTCTTAAGAACCACTGGGCCAGAAAAGCTGAAACTTATGTGGAAGCATCCCGGGGTAGTGTAGATTCTAAATTGTTCAAATCATGACCCCTCGAGGATAGGGCAGGGCCACAATTGGGAATCAAATTTTTACATAGAAATATATAGTAAAATCTTCTCAAGAACCAGTAGGCCAGAAAAGCTGAAACTTATGTGGAAGCATCCCAGTGTAGTGTAGATTCAAATTCTTCAAATCGTGACCCCCGGGGGTAGGGCGGGGCCACCATGGGGAATCAAAGTTTTACATAGAAATATATAGGAAAAATCTTTGAAAATCTTCTTCTCAAGGTTACCACTGGGCCAGAAGAGCTGAAACTTATGTAGAAGCATCCTGGGGTAGTGTAGATTCTAAATTGTTCAAATCATGACCCCGGGGGGTAAGGCGGGGCCACCATGGGGAATCAAAGTTTTACATAGAAATATAATGGAAAAATCTTTGAAAATCTTCTTCTCAAGGTTACCACTGGGCCAGAAGAGCTGAAACTTATGTAGAAGCATCCTGGGGTAGTGTAGATTCTAAATTGTTCAAATCATGACCCCAGGGGGTAAGGCGGGGCCACCATGGGGAATCAAAGTTTTACAATGGGGAATCAAAGCATCCTGTGGTAGGGTACATTTCAAATTGTCTAAATTACATCAGTGGGGTAGGGTGGGGTCACAATATACAATTATGGACTGTTTAGAAGGGAGACATCACCAATTATCAGGTCTGAGTAGGGTTGTCACCCGAGGGCGCTTGCGCCCGAGGGTGGCAACCCTACTCAGACCTGATAATTGGTGATGTCTCCCTTCTAAACAGTCCATAATAGTTTTATTATCCTGAAGAATATTCAATTATCAATTACGTAGAGTATAAAATAATAATCAAACCTCTTGTTTTCTTCTACTCTGCTCCGATTCCATCCTTTCGAAATATGTCAACAGACAACTTTGACATCATCGTTAGAATTTATTGTTTACCGATCCCGCATATTTAGCCACTGTACTTATAAATAGGAGTTATCTCGCTTAAACCACTGTAGTTTTTATCAAAGGCGACAACACAGTTGTAACCCTGCATGCTCGCTTACGCTATTTCATTATCATCTGAAGGGAGATAACAGTTGTCACCCTGCGCGTGAGGGAGACATCACGAGTTGTCTCCCTGCACGTGACCTGCTCTAAACCAATCAGATTGACTGTATAATTCTGAAGGATAATAATATGTATTACAAAGGGTAAATCTGGTAAAGAACAGATTGGTCGAAGCTTCTCAGGTGAGTGATGTGGCCCATGGGCCTCTTGTTTTATTATATAATTCTTGGAATCAATGATAAGTTAATAAATAATCCTTGTAATCACTGGTTAATTTCAGGATTTAGTTTGTTGCTTTTTTAAGATCTATTTTGAATGGAGTCAATTAATTGATATAACGCCTCATTCTTGCATATTATAAATTTAAACTACATAGACATTTTCCCATTGATAGGATCCAACACCTCAAGACGGTCACCACGAAGTGTGACGAGGAAGAGCAGTGTCTGCCCCATAAATGGCCCTGGTAATATAATCCTTGTTATTACTGATACGTTATTATATAATCTGTGTAATCACTGTGTAACAGGAAAGGAGAAAATGCATGGCTGGACCGGGAATCGAACCCGGGACCCCTGTATCTCTAGTCAGGTGCTCTACCTACTGAGCTATCCAGGCCGATATCCACGGCCCTAACCATTACATTCCTCCCTCCTTAAAGGTCTTTGGCCCTCCAAAGACCCCAACCCAGGCTCATCCCTGACAGGTCTTTCACCTGTCAATTCCAGGGCATGGCACGGCACCAAATCTGTAACAGGAAAGGAGAAAATGCATGGCTGGACCGGGAATCGAACCCGGGACCCCTGTATCTCTAGTCAGGTGCTCTACCTACTGAGCTATCCAGGCCGATATCCACGGCCCTAACCATTACAACTGGTTATTTATTATATAATCCTTGTAATCACTGGTTATTTTAAACAATAAAATGCTTTCTTTCTTTGTTATTACTGGAATTAACAGAAGGAGCTGTTAAAGAAAAAATACATAACCCGCGAAAGCAAACTATTTACCTCGGCTGTTTATCATCCTGCAGGAAAGGATGATATAATTTTTATTACTGAATAAAGGATTAGGCTTCTTAAACAACAATCAGAATAGAAAATATATATGGACAACATTGATAATTACTGAAGTACATGTATATAATGGCTCAAATATTGACTACAATTTTTCAGATTTCCAGAACCCAAAGAATATAGCCCTTCCTAATCAGTGATATTTTTTTTTATACATTCTTTGTTCCTTTTATATAAGGACAAGGGAGAATAAAGATATATAAATTGTAACTTTTTGTGCAAGAAATTAGAATTTGTAATTAAATCTTATTAATGACCAGTTCTTCCTTTTTCATTTTAATCCATGAGGTTTTTTTTATATTCAGATATGAACTAATTTTAGATCAGAAGTGAACTTTTTGGTACTAATATCCAGTTTAAAATATTTGTAGACTTAACATCAATAAAACAAAATATATTTTTATGCAGAATGACAACTGTTTTGTGAAAGGAATATATACTAGTAAATATTATTATTAATTTTCTAATTTGTAGCAATGTATTGCTATTCAGGTTTATTTAGAGCAACTAAACAGATTTAATGATACATTCTTCGGAGTCGGGTTACATTATAATTGTTTTATACTTATTAAAATGCAAAATTTGTTCATTGATCAAGTAAGGATAATGTGTTTTTTTTAATTTCAGGATTTATGCTGTTGCTTCTATAACACTAACCTAAATAGATAATAAAGTGGTATATTATCACAATTCTGCTTACTATGAATTTTAACTACTGTAGACGTACTTTTTTCCGCGGGGTCATAATTCCGCGGAATCTCAATTTCCGTTTAATCCACGGGTAGAAAATTACGCGAATTTCTTAGACTGTCACTATATGCCTTACATTTATATTATGTACGCTTGGCCAAATTTCCGCGGAAAATTTGTGGCCGCATACATAGCGTAAATTAATACCACGTGGAAAAAAGTACTTCTACAGTATACACAAACATTTTCACATTTACAGCATCAAGAATCTACAGCCAGTCTCCAAGGAGCAGCATTAGTAAAGGTAGCCCTTGCTCCATAAATGGTACTCGTAAGTTATTCTATAATCCTTTTCAATCTGGGTACAAAATATGCATAATAAAACTACAGTAAAACTTTTGTAAATGAGATGTTATGTATTTTGAAATGTTGCGTAATATGATAAAAACTAACAGTCCCTTTCATTTTTTTTTTCAATGGTTTAAAATGTTTTAATTTGTTTAAGAAATGTTGTTAAATCCAGAATGTCGTGCCCTTTTTAGGAATCAGCGGAGTCAGGATAAGACGTTTTTTGTCTATCATCTAATGATTTTGCCATTTCAGATGAGGATCTTAATGAAAATACGAAACGAGAGATCAGTGATCCTGTTATAGAGCAGAGCGTAGATGAAGTCTCCCACTACACACATGTAGGAGAGTATGTTTTTCAGAAATACGAAAAACAACAAATGTGTGACATTTCATTTAAGTTGGGAGATAAATTATTCCCAGTGCATAAATTAGTATTGGCTTCACAGAGCCCTCTGTTCGCCGAAGTTTTTGAAAGGGAGCATTTTTCAAAGGAGCCAGTGGCCCCCAAAATTATTAATGTGAGGGGAGTTTCAGAAGAGGCCCTGGTCTCCTTTTTAGCCTTCATTTATACCGGAAGGCTTGATTTCAACACGGTCTATTGGAGGGATGTCATGAAACTTGCTCTCGTATTTAAAGTCGAGCAAATCAGGAAATTATATCTGAGGAAAATGGAACAGATGAAATGTGAGGACCAACTTCGACTGTTGCCAAATATGGCACAATTACAAGCAGTGGAGATTAGTGACAAGATTATCAGGAATATATCGACAAACTTTTTGAAAATCAAAGAGTGTCCGGCATTTTTCGACCTGGACGTCGAAACTCTCTGTTTAATTTTGTCTGATGAGAATATCATGGCCAGGTCAGAGTTCGACATATTCTCTGCAGCTGTTTCATGGTTCCATCACCATGACTATGAAAAAAGAGTCCAGCACTTAGAGACCATCATGAGGTGCGTCAGGTTCCCCCTTATGACCAACAAAGAACTGTTTCTCTGTTTAAGAAAATTTCCTATACTCAGGCAGAACCAGAGTTGCGTCAACATGATAACCATGGCCAATTGGTAATATTTTTTTTATTGATTTATTTATAAAACATATCAATTTTAAATCAGTATATTTGAAAATGTTTCATAACACAAATGAGTTATGCTCTGTATAAGAGGTTAAGTCAACATCCTTTTATAAGAGTTCCTAAATCCTTTTAATTTCAATTAACTTCTCACCTTTAATTATTTCTTCAGGATCTCATTTACAAATAATTTAGAATATATGTTTATTCATTGAAATTCAGTACACAACATAACTGTTCCTTACATGAAGGGACAATGGCTTTTCGTTGCTTTTCATGTTGTAAATCTCCATTAAATTTCCTCACCCCCAATAACATGTAGGATAGGAGCCCCGACCCCCATTATACTTTTTTAATGCCCCCTACTATTACTGAGAATGTTTATGTTGACACAAATGTTTTGTTTTACTTAATAAGGGCGAGGACCTCACTGGAGCTCAATGAGGAGGATCCATTAGAGGTCCCTGTAAAAAAGAGAGACGGGGTCAATAGTCCACAAAATGTCAGCGATTACTTAAAAGTAGGTCATCGATATTTTACAAAAAAAAATCTGTATATCGTTTTTGTTTTATTTTGTAACTTTACCATCAATTTTAATGGTTTTTGAAAATAATTATTGTCATTAAATGCGGCTTTCAGTCTCATTATTTATAGATATATACTGTATGAAATGTTTTACATGTTTATTTATGTTTGCATAATATTTCCTTCTCTTTTAAATCGTTTTGCTATAGTGCACCTTCTGTCTTTACATGAATATTCCTATGAAAATTTTTTGCACATCAAAAACAGTCACAGGATTTTTTGTCTCCCGCTTTCGCGAATGCGAGAGGACATTAAATCTCATTCGTCTGTTTGTCAGTCTGTCAGTCCGTCCGTCTGTCAGTCCATCACAAAAACTTTAACCTTGCCCATAACATTTGATTATGTGGAGCTATGACTTTTATATTTCACATGTGTATTTCTTGTGACAAGACCTTTTTTGGGTACCACCAAATTTGACCTTTTGACCTTGACCTTGGAGTTTGACCCACTTTTACACAAAAAATATATTTGGCCATAACTTTTGTAGTACTACGGTAGAACTTTCATATTTCACATATAAGCAACCTTTCATTGGATACCAACAACTTTGACCTTGACCTTGACCTTGAAAATTTCCGTACATGTACTTATGAAAAAATTTAAACCTTGACCATAATTTTTGAATGGTAAGGGCTAGGGCTTTCATTTTTCACATATGTAATCCATTTGAAAAGACCTTTCATTGGATACCAAAATCTTTGACCCTTTGACCTTGACCTTGGAGTTTTAGCTACTTTTTAAAAAACTTTAGCCTTGGCTACAACTTTTGAATGATAGATACTAGAACCTTCATATTTTACATATGTATTTATTTGGCAAGAAAGCGGGGGACCACAATTTTTTGAATTTACTTATTTTCTTTCATTCCAATCATTTCGTCCATTCTATCAAAACAGGCCAAATCCTCCAATAGCATTGAAGACGAGGTAGAAGTAGAAGTCACTCCTATGTCCCAGGAGTTGGCACAAGACTTCAATTGTCACGCGGGCTCTCCGTGCATGCTGCTTGAGCAGAGTCCTAAGGTTGAGCAGTATAGAACTTCCAAATGTAAGCCTAGTTTATATTTATTTGGAAAGTTATACATTGGATCTTTATTTGAAATTTGCATAAAAAACTATGATTGATACTCACCAAGGAAAGAAAACTCCCCATCCCTAAAATTAACATTTTAAACTTCTCTAGAAATACAGGGCAACGTTTATATTAAATTCTTATCACTTTAAGCATCCTTTTGTTGTCAGTTTTAGAAATATAAAAATTAATTTGGAAACGGCTTTCAGTCTAAGAGGAGGCCATCTGGACCAGAAAACATTCATTTAAGCTTTTGTTGTCTGTACATCCTTTGGAGGAAGGTTAATTTTAAAAATATGAAAATTAATTTGAACACAGTTCTCATTTAAAAGGCTGTCCAAGTGTCATTTTAAAAAAGAACTTCCTCTGAACCAGAGAACATTATTTACAGGTATTCTTATCTGTAAATTTGTAGGTGAAGCAACAGCACAGAGGAAGGATTCTAGAAGTGGAAACAAGAGGTACGTGCATGTTTATATGCTAACTCTTGGGAAGTGGGGGGATATTAAATTTTTCCAATTTTTTTTTCTGTTAAGTTCATGAAACCTTTATCAGAAGGTTGAGGTAGAGGGGAACATTTAATGGACTGTAACAGGAGAAATATATACACAATGAATCAGACAAAGATTCGAACCCGTGTACCCTGAATGTCCAGTCATGTCTACTGACTGAGCTTTCTGGTTTCATGGGTCACATCCATCTGCCTGCCAAAGCCCTTCCCCCTTAAGGTTTTCAGACCTCATAAACATCAACCCTGGGGGTCCTTTCTGACTATTCCAAGGCCTGCTCACAGTACCAATATAACGGGAGGGGAATAAAATGTAATGAACCAGACTGGGAATTTAAGGCAGTCTTAATTTCCAGTCATTTGCTTTACCCTCTTAGCAATCTGGTTTCTGGCAACCAAACTGCCTCATTGCCATAAGTTGAAATTTTAGTATCTCATATATAATTTATACTCTTAAAATTTAATTCATAAAAAAGGGGACTGTTTTAAACGGCCAGTTCAATTTTTTGTATGTTTTCTATCATTACACATTATTTGACTAAAACTATACTGAAATAAGCAAGTTAAAACTGCTTCATGTCCCTGAGGTTTCAGAAGAGTATTAAACAATTTAACGAGGCCGAGTCTTATTCGAGTACGCATGACTTTGTGCAGCTTTTTAATTTTACATGTATTAGGCTTCGAAAAAATAAACTTAGTAATAAATTCCTCGACCAATCTAGATGATCTTTTTTTCACAATTTGGTGACTTTTTATTATAACTTTCATCTATTTGAATGAAAAAGAAATCTCAAGGTCAGAAATACAAAAAATATGGGAAATAAATTTGATAATATGGTGCTTTTCCAACAAATTCCCATAGGGTCCAATATTAAAACTTTTGAAATGGCCCTCTTCGAAATCGGGATGGTAAACGTTCGATTTTTTAATCTAAAAACAATAAATATAACAGTAAAAATTAATTATCAAAAAAATTATCAAAATTCTTAAGGCAGACATAATTAGACTTGACATCGTGAAATTAATAAAAAAAGAAATTATACAACATGTAAGTTTTTAATAAAACGGATTTGTTTCAATGAAAATAGTTTGAATATTTTGAAAATATTATCCTATTTGTAAACAAGAAAAAAATTTTCCTGTGGAAAATGTTCACATTTTAGAAAACAATTTTTAGTTAATTAATTTATAAACAATTGTATATTAACTTAAGTACTTGTAAACAAAAAAACTGCAAGAATTTGATTAATATCCTATTTACAAGGTAGCATTCCTACTTGAAGACTGCCAAATACATGTGCAGGGTAAACCACAGGTCTTTTTTTTTAAAATTGATATCATCATTTAAATATATATTGTTCATTTTTATCCATAAACTTGCTTTTTCTCGAGACATCTGGATGAGGTATGTATATGTTCTTTTACAATATCACATTGAACTACATGTTTGCATAAAATGAAATTTTCTAATTTTTTTTTTTCAAACACAGGCTTTTCAGTTATAATAACATGATTTTGTATGTTTGTTTCATCTGTTATGACTATTATGTAAGAAAAATGCCAAGTTAATGAAAAGTTTTTTTTTTTAACTTTTAACGTATTAGCACCGCTATTGCTGCAATAAGGCTGCCCTCATTTTTATTGGGGGGGGGGGGTATAATAAAAAAAAATCAGAGAGGGCTAAATTATTGCATATGTTAAATGATATTTATACCATAACGTCAACGATTCACAATTTGACATACTATAGATTCCTCTGTCATTCTAGTATGTGTTCCTAAACTCCTGTCATAAAATGGCCTGGAATTAGTACGTTGATCTTTGGAGAGGGCGTTCATAGGCTTGTCGTTCAATTTATCCATATCATTAATATGAATAACATATATTTTAAAACTAAAATTACATGTAAATTAATTGTAGGCTCATGAATTCACATTTTTCACTTCATTAATTTTAGCTTTATTTAATATCACATATTAAAAATTAGATCAATATTATTGTAATTCTTGGAGGGTACTAATAACATTAAAATAATCAATACCGCCCTTATATAAAGGAATCTACAGTTGTACTTGGGTGTTTTTTATTTAATATTACTTACTTCATTTTATCCTGTTCTTAAATAAAATGTTAAGATAACTGACAAATTTCTAGGGCCATGGCCTACTTAATTTGCTAGGCATGGCAATTATTTTATCGCGTTAAGGTGGGGTGTTGATCAGGATCATAAATCGCTATTTTTTAGACATAATTTTGTGCATCACTTGCTTATATCATTTTTTTTAACGTAACTATTTAATTATAATATTGTGTTTAAATCACAGTCAACATATTTATAATATCAACATTTAATCAATTTCTGGATCCAAGTAACAAATTTATAATATATTGTCATGAAGCCGTCAAATGAATTAATAAGATTACTGTATTTCCCTTATTTATGTTGTCTTTTCAACCCTCTAAATGTAGGTCTCCTATTCTGTTTGCAGGTCACCCACGAAGAAGGGAAGAAAAATTCCTAAGAACTCCCCCATTTGGCAGCTGCAGTCCATGCAATTCTAAAGACTGTTTTGATCTAAATGTACTGCACACCATGTTTTTTTCAAAGTTTGAATGTTTTTTTTAAATCTTTGATATTTTTATGTTTTTTTTCTTTCTCTTTGGTGTTTTAATGGGTTTTTTTTGTTTGGTGTTTATTTTTTTTATCCAAATTCATGTTTTCTGTAAACGGTTAAACACATTTATTGTAGATAAGCATAAATGAATGTGTGGTATAATTAAAATTATTGCAAGGAAGCTGTGTTTTTGGTTTATTTGTATTTTTGATTAATTCTGATTGGTAAATTTTGTCTTTCAATGTAGGAGGAGGTCAGTGGACCAAAACACTCTGAGGCCCCCCTCTTTCCTTTGTCATTGGATTTATAAAACTAGAAAAATGCCTATACAATGTAAATGATAATTCCAGGCTTCATTAGTAATGCAACATGAAATTTGATGAAAATAAATATATGTAGCTTGAATAGGTTTTAAACTGAGTTTAAGAAAGCTCTAAACACAACAAAAAGTGGGTTTTTTTTTTTAACTTGGATTGTATCGAGGTTTGCATATTAAAACCATTTAGTTAACACGCGGGATAATTAATGTTAACATGCAACAAACATGTATTTATGTCAACCTGCGACTTATTTATCTTAACATGCAACATCATTATATAAATATGTTATTTCTGTCATCATGCAAGATACATGTAACGAAGTAAGCACGCAAGATGATTATTTCAGCATATAAGATGTGGACAGGCAACTTCTCTTGCATGTTTACAAAAATAAGTCACATATTGACATAACTAAACTGAATTTTAACTTTATTATTTTGCATGTTGACATAAATAAATTGCATGTTAAAAAGTTGCATGTTAACATGTAACAATCTTGCATTTTGCATGCCAACATAGTTATGCTTCTTGTTAATATACATGTAATTACGCTGTATCTTAAAGCTTTCATTTTAGCGTTTATGATGGCATATTTCTACCCCATACCTGAATGATAAATTACATCAACCTGCAAGAAAACTGTGTCAGCATGCAAGATTTGCAAGAAAATTATGTCAACATGCAAGTGCAAGATATTTACTACCAGTATGTCGGCATGCACATTTACAAAGTATTATATCTTTTAAGAGTATCTATGGTGGCATATATTTCTGCCCCTTACATGCAAGATAAATAATGTTAACATGTCACATGATTATGTAGACATGCAACATATTTATGTAAACAAGCAAGTTAATTATGTTGACATGCAAGTTACCAATTATATAAGAAAATAAAATTTAAATAAGGGTAAATTTACTTAACGCCTGTATCTGACATTTTAGATGCAAAATGCAATATAATTATGTAGACATGCAACTTTTCTATGTCAACATGCAAGATAATAATGTCAATATGCGACTTATTTATGTCAACATGCAAGATAATTATGTCAACATGCGACTTATTTATGTCAACATGCAAGATAATTATGTCAACATGCAAGATAATTATGTCAACATGCGACTTATTAATATCAACAAGGAAGATAATTATGTCAAAATGAAACTTATTTATGTTAACATGCGAGATAATTATGTCAACATGCAACTTATCTATATCAAGAGGGACATGGAGACAGCGAATAGCACTCAGTCTCAAAGTCCATTAAACAATATACAAAATCAGAGCAGAGCAAACACGGACCTCCGAAACATCAGAGGTGGGATCAGGTGCCATGGAGGAGTGAGCATCCCCTGCTGACCGGTCACACCCGCCTTGTGCTCGTTGTCATGATCAGAAAATAACGGATTAAATCTGTTGTCAATTCAATGGACTAAAAATTGGCATGAAAAACGTCAGTCAGCATTTGACTCAATGATAAATTGTATTTGCTGACAAGGTCATTGTATCTACCATAGAACTTGCGAAATGATGACTTTAAGGATTTCCATCCCTAATGGGACCTAATTCTATACCCTTAAATGTACTTCAAGTTCATAGAACACTGCTATTATATTAAAGCATTTTATAGTAGAAAAGGATTGCCCACGAGAAAATTTTTAAAATTTCATTAATTAAGCAGTAATTATACTAATTAATTAACAAAGTTTGCATTGAAGTCTATGGGGAAAAGCGTTTTTTCAAAATAAAAATTCAAATAATTTGAATATCAATAAATTCTGCGGTGGAAAGATGCATTGAAACATTAAAAATAGAATGACAATTGAAAACAATTTTTTTACCAGCTAAATTTTTTTCAATTAATTTTTTTTATTAATTAGAAAAAGGGGAGATAACTCGTACCAAAATTCAAGGTCATAAATTAGGACAGATCCCACTATACATACTAATAGTAATAAATGGGAAGTATGTCTAAATAAACTGAGTATTCAATGCCTACATATCAGTTATGTATTCAATTTCACTGAATTTGTTCCCATTAGGGATTGAATACCTTAAACGAGACTGCTGATATTCTTGTTTCATCAACTTGCTTGTCAATAATTTACCTCATTTAAGAAATTGTTCATACGTATAGCATGCTCTTGCGTATCGAATCAACTGAGATATATACTATACTCGACAATACGTCGTAGATATATCTAAATGTTGAGTTGAAGGCCACAGCAAGTGTTTTCTTCTTTCACGCATAAGATTTTTTCATAAATTCTGCTTCATATGAATATAAAAATAGGTCTGCAAATAACGGAGCGCAATTTGTACCCATGGGAATTCCAATAGATTGTTGGAATACCTGGTCTCCAAAAACCACATAGATATTGTCAATCAGAAACTCAAGCATCTTCTTGATGTCAACTTCAGAGTACTTATGTGTGCAATCATAATCTGTTTTAACAAAATAATTTTGTAATTGATCAATGACGAGGTAAGTAAATTTACGAGTTCCATTTTTCATTGAAGAAGCAGCTGTTAAAGATATCGAAAAGCTTTGATTTTAATTTATCGTGGGGAATTGTTGTGTATAAAGTTGAAAAGTCGTAAGTTTTTAAGCTGTTGATTTTTGTAAAGTCTTGTGATTTCACTTTGTCCAAAAGTTCTTAAGAATTTTTAAGTATCCACATCTGATTCACACCACTTCTTGAATATATAGTTGCAGTCAGTACTCTTGAAGTGTTTCCTTCACCACTGTCAGTATCTTAGTGAGGAGTAACGAAAGAGGCTTGGTTGAACATTTACTGGAACTGAACCTGCAATGTATCTTTGTTTGTAAGGATTCTTAGGAAGTTTCGGAATCCAATAATATATAGGGTTGTTCAATATATAGGAAATTTTTTTTAAAAAATCTTCTTCTCGAGAACAGAAAAGCCATAATTGCTCATATTTATAGGGAAGCATCCCAAGGTAGTGCAGTATCAAGTTTCTTCAAATCGTGACCCCTGGGGGTAGGGCGGGGCCACAATGGCCGACCAAAATTTTATATAGAAATATATAGGAAAATTCTTTAAAAATCTTCTTCTTAAGAACAGCAAAGCCATAATTGTTCATATTTATAAGGAAGCATCCCTAGGTTGTGTAGATTCAAGTTTGTACAAATCATGCCCCCAGGGGGTAGGGTGGGCCACAATGGGCAACTAAGGTTTTAGATAGAAATACACAGGAAAATTCTTTCAAAATCTTCTTCTTAAGAACAGCAAAGCCATAATTGCTCATATTTTTATTGAAGCATCCCCAGGTAGTGTAGTTTCAAGTTTCTTCAAATCATGACCCCTGGGGGTAGGTCGGGGCGACAATGGCCGACCAAAGTTTTATATAGAAATATATTGGAAAATTCTTTCAAAATCTTTTTCTCAAGAACAGAAAAGCCATAATTGCTCATATTAAGATTGAAGCATCCCCAGGTAGTGTAGATTCAAGTGTGTGCAAATCATGACCCCCGGGGGTAGGGCGGGGCCACAATATCCAACCAAAGTTTTATATCAATATATAGGAAAATTCTTTCAAAATCTTCTTCTTAAGGACGTTCGATCCTGAGATTTTGAGCGTATTTTGGTCAGGTCCTTTATTTATAAAATTCTGTATCATTTTTAAATTCTAACATTAAATCTGAATTCTACAGGGCAAATTTAACTATATTCAATGAAAAAACCGCGATTAAATTCCATTCAAGTAGAATTAAGCTAGGGACTATATTTTCTGGCGGAAGGTTTTTTAGACGAAAATTATCAGTTTTTCCAGTTTGAACTATAACAGTACTGTTAATTTTGGATTTTTATTTTTCCATCCTGATTGCGCACAAAGCTGTTTTTTGCAGTGAAATGTGTTATGCTGGTTCTGAAATATCTATTAAATTATTTCTTATGAATTCTGTCAACAAATTGTGACAAATATAGTAAATATATTCTGAAAATTCGGGAAAAAATTGAGCCAATTTTAACGTAAAATTGACACTTTTTTAGTAATATCTGAAAATTTACATCATGTACCCCCACTTTTGATGTTCTTTTCTAAATTATTCAAGAAAAAATTGACCTATTTGCTTAAAATCAGAAAAAGTTTAAGACTTTAAAATGATTTTTTTGCTTATTAAATTTTCAATGCCAGAAAAATCACTTTTTATTAGTGCAGAAAGGTCAAATAATTTGTTATGCGAAGCAATATGAAACTTTTTCTTAGTCACAATTTTTTAGTGTCTTTTTTTAAACAAACTTAAGAGTTCATTTTGTTTCATGCTTTTAACTGGATAAAAATATTGGAGGGAAAATGTCAAAAATAAATTTTTTAATTAAGACACAAATTTCAGTGCAAAAAGGTCATATTCAATGTACTGTAGCGCCAAAAGAAGCATATTGACCTTCATTTTTTGATTTGAATTTTAATTAAGCTATGTATGTAGAAACTAAAAATATACTTGGCAAAAAAAGTTTAAGACTTTAAATATCAGGATCGAACGTCGTTAAGAGCAGCAAAGACATAATTGCTCATATCTATAGGGAGGCAACCCAGGTAGTGTAGATTTAAGTTTGTTCAAATCGTGATACCTGGGGGTAGGGTGGGGCCACAATGGCTGACCAAATTTTATATAGAAATATATAGGAAAATTCTTTCAAAATCTTCTTCTTAAGAACAGCAAAGCCATAATTGCACATATTTATATGGAAGCATCCCAGGTAGTGTAGATTCAGGTTTGTTCAAATCATGACTCCTGGGGGTAGGGGGGGGGGCACAATGGCCAACTAAAGTTTTATATAGAAATATATAGGAAAATTCTTTAAAAATCTTCTTCTTAAAAACAGCAAAGCCATAATTGCTCATATCTGTATTGATGCATCCTCAGGCAGTGTATATTCAAGTTTGTTCAAATCATGACCTCCAGGGGTAGGGCTGGGCCAACTTTTGGATTTTAACTTTTCAATAGAAAACCAATTTCTGCTTTTTCCTAACCAGAATGCTCGGGTGAGCGATGTGGCCCCTGGGCCTCTTGTTTTCTTTTCAGATCACAAAACATATTTTCAAAAATGGAATCATAGGGTGCATGTGTAGACACTTTTCTACTGGGTCTCCGTAGAACAATCAAAGAGAGATTGTCACGCAATGATGATGTTTTAATTCATTTTGAGTTTTCCATGCCAAGGAATTTAGTAATATCAACAACACCATTCAATGAAACAGTTGCGGACAGAGCTAAAAACTTAGCATCTGGTCTGACAGCACGCAGTTGCTTTATATCCCAAAAGATAGGGCGAAAGTCAAGTCCCCAGTCATCTACCACAATATACATAGGGTCAGAAATGCTCTGACTGAAAAAATTTGTAAACCTCCGGTTTTCCAACAACAGCCTCTGGGTGCGCAAAAATGTACTTTGTTCTTCCTTTCTCAAACTCTTTCATAAAATCATGACAGGAGCTACTAGTATTCCTTAAAAAAAAGGAAGAGCCTTTCAGTTTTTGCATTTGTCCTTCAATTATAACATTTAAAGGTTCTAGGACAAGAACAACTGCAGGCTTCCCGGTCACTTCCAAATGATAAAAAGGAAGAAGTTCATATAACAAACTTTTTCCATATCCGGTAGGCAAAATAGATAAAACACCATGATGCAAAAGATTTTCCAAAGACTTCTGTTGAAGTGGCTTCAGTGCCGAGATGTTCTGGTCAAACACCACACTGTACTTTTGTAGGGCCTATTGAAAAAAGGTGAAAATGCATATCTATTACACAAATATTGTGTCTGAATATACTCTCTATTGTGCTAGAGTAAATGTGAATTTCATTTCATCTCATTTTTGTTGTTGGTATAATGTATGTACACTGTGTAAATAAATAAAGCTAAGAGTCAATATTATAACAGATGAAAATGTACTTAATTTTTCTAAATTTTTATATTCATGTGTATGGGAGTAATTGGTATCTGTAAGAGTTAACTCCCTTAGTTAAGATTTTGAGGAAATATTGATGATATTAAATGATACCCTATATAAATTAGCTCATAGGTATTTGGATATACCAGTACTTACCGGTAATGTTGTAATTTTGTATGGTGGATATAATTATTTTTTCATTTGGCTTTTGTAATTTTGAGTGTGCATCAGAATTTAAAATGTTTAATGCAGGGTGTTCTTAAGTAAGTACAAATGTTAATTATGAATTCAAATTAAACTATCATTATCAAATACATTAGATTTTATTTATATAACAGAGAAAGAAAGTATACTCAGGTGGTTTTAATATGGTATATTTCATTTAATATATGCATAGTAAAAATAAACTGATTATACTAAGGTATTAGGTGTAAAAGTTGTCTCCCTTATTAATATGGAATTGAATGTACCATATGTAAGCATTGATGTCACTGATGACGTTGTGTTAATTTAGTGAATGAGAAGTGCATGTAAATAAAAACTAAATATGTTTATATAAATTAGGTATAATTGTAAAACAATGTATTTTCACTCGTACATTGTATTGTGAATTTTCATTTGAGTTTTTAGACGGAGGCTTTATGCCTCCGCTCTATTGGTATCACTCATCTGCGGCGGAAGGGAATTTGCGATCGCCATCTAGTGGCAAATCACATTAACTTTTATTAGTCTGGTCCCCGACTCATCCTTTCCAAGGCAGGAGTACATGAAGCAAAGCAGTGACAGGGAACCAGGCTAAACTTTGATAAACTGGCTTGACTGTCTGATATGGGATATGCGCTGTATACAGACAGGTGATCAGTAATGTTTGGAGTCCGCTGCTGACACGCTCATTGGCTGGTAAAAATTCTCGCTGACATAGAATATAAATTGTCGGGGAAACCAAAACAGATCACCGAGTGCAGTTCTCTGCATCTGCTTTTGATGCAATTAATCTAATTCGGTTACAATATTTTCCACATACAATACAGTTTTCTTTTTTCGCATGGAATTATCTCACACCTTTCACCTCGCCTGAGGGTTTTCTTTTATTAGTTTGCGAGGGTCCTATCACATTAATACCCTACATTACCTAGATAGAAGAAATCTGCATCATTGTTCAATTGAAACTGACATATTTTAAATGTTCACTCACTGGCTCAGCAAAGAGCTGCGACTTGTCTGTTTAGAGCACACAGAATTTCTGCTGCATCTATTTTTAGAATTCCTTAACACATGCATGCAAACTATATTGATGGGACAAATTCTATGTTTACATGACCAACTTAGTGGTGTAAATTTAGTAATATTATAGCTAACCTGTGCAAAAAACGTAAAAGGAAGCAATAAAACACGGGTACCCATAACACACTGTTGTCATGGAATCTGCAATAGTGACTCAAAGTATGCCCACAAAAAATATATGAAAGGAGTTGAATTTATTAGATTCCCCAAACCTTGAAGAGATATTGAAAAAGTGTCAAGAATTAGTGAATGCTTGTAAACGTTCATTGGCGGATCCAAGGGGGGGGGGGGGTGCGGGGGTTGGAAGCCCACTTTATTTTTTGTCAAACAGGCGTTTGTTCTGCTTAATATTTTTCGTAATGTTGAAAATATTTGCATCCTCTTCATGTTCATATCCAACACAACAGATTTGTTAATTAAAAGTTGAATGTGCATGACTGTATAGATCTATGCATTGATATATCTTATTGCTTGTAATTCTCAGATCCTTTTAGTCCTGAAGAGCTAGAGATACTCAAGTACTTTTTGGCTTTCTCACATTTCAGGAAGCTCTTACCATGAGTCACTAAAGAATTCAAATTAATATGGTTTATTGCAATTAGAGTGGTTTGTCCTTTTGACGAAAAATAGGAATTTGATTAATAACATAATTAAACATCAGACTACGATAACATAAATGAAGATGTGTTTGTGAAACACTGTTGTCCCTGTGTGGTAATACAGCGAAGATTAAACTTTTCTTAAATGCAAATTTAATAATATTATAATAATAATAATATTGATACCAAAAGTATGGTATTCTTACTGGAAATACAATTGTGAAATATGAAAGTAGGTTAAGGCTAAAGTTACTCCATAGGTACTGAAATCTCAAAGGTAAAGGTCAAAAGGTCATGATTGTTGGTATGCAATGAAAAGTCTTTCCATAAAGAATACATATGTGAAGTGTGAAGCCCTAACCCTTCAAAAGTTATGACTAAGGATATTTTTTTTAAGTAGGCCAAACTCCAAGGTCAAATATCTTGCTATAACATGAAAGGTCTTGACATAAAGATTAAATATATAAAGTTTGAAAGCACTAACCCTAAAGTTTTAAAAGTTATGCTCAAGATTTGCTTTATAAAAGTAGGTCAAACTCCAAGGTCAAAGTTCTTGGTATCCAATGTAGGGTCTTCTTACAAGGATTACATATGTGAAGTATGAAAGCACTATATATCCATTACCATTCAAAAGTTCTTTTTCATAAGTATGGAATCTCGAAGGTCAAGGTCAAAAGGTCAAGGTTGTTAATATCCAATGAAAGGTCTTTCCACCAAGAATACATTATATGAAGTATAAATGTCCTGGTATCTACTGTTCAAAAGATATGGCCAACTACCCTTAGGCAAATGTTGGGGTCAGAATATGAATAAAAAATTCCCAAAGAGACAAACAATCATGTTCATTCCAAGCCTCTGTCTATCAGTACTTTCAGTACTTTGATTTATGTCTGCACTGTGTACAGTTATTTTTAACATGAATCATGCTCTCGAATTTTTAATTATATGACACAGGAAATAAAAAAAAATGAACTCTGCAATTATAACAGACTTGTTGATTCAACTAGAAAAAGGACATATCAAAATTATCTAAACTTTCCAAGATTGTTGAATTAGAAATAATGCATTAACCATCTTAACATTATTAGTTTCTTTATTGTTTGCTTCAACTCTGCTGTTTTAATAGAATTATGCCTGACTTTTCAATTTTCTGTAAATTCCATTTTATTTTCTCATTTCTATTTGTCAATGCATGATAAGAACAATGCTCCCAGGAATTGAACCTGGATCTCCTCATCCCTTTTTACAGCTTGGATAAGGTGTGTTACCATTACACCAAAACAAAGTTATTTTTCATGCATTGAAAAAAAAAATGATTAGATTTCCTTACTTACTATGTTGTATCTAGATATTATTCCTTATGCTGGCGTCACACTGTCCCGAAATTGACACCAGATGGCGATACGAAATTGAAATTTTGAATTTCGCACGAAGTTGGCCCCGAAATTGGTCACTAGCTAATCACCAGCCGAAGCAAGTACGATACCTACAGATGGTCACACGATGGCACCCGAAGCACACACGAAGGCTACATGAAAATGTGATTTTTTATTGAGATGTTTACCCGAAGGACACACGAAGGCAATATGATGGCAACAAGACGTCGTATTGAGAGTACGATGCGTTCGAATCAAGTCACGAAGGTGTCACGTGACCTTTCAATGGGTATAAAACCTTCGGCTGACTGTTGGAAATTTCAATTGCTCATTGGTAAACTTTGCGTGATCATAAACTTCAACTTTGGTTCCACTTTCATTTAAGTTAAAATGCCACCCAAGGCAGGGAGAGGCAGAGGGAAGAAGCAGGCTGGGAGATGCAAATCTAAAAAAAAGAAAAGCAGAAGAAACTGAGATTTTGGATGTCCAAGAAGACACCACTCAGTCTCTAACCAGGGAGATGATAGGAATAAAATCCAGGAAGGATATCAGTCAGTGTGGATGTAAAACTCCAGAGAGGTCTTCAGACGGTTGTAGATCTCCTCAGCAGTCCCAAGAATCTCCGCAGCATTCACCCTCTCCCCCTCCCGCTCCTAACAGCCAGACAGAATCTTCAGATGATGGAGGTAAATTCTATAACTTAATTTTGGTGGTGGTGGTGGGGGGTGGGGGTGGGTGGGGTGTAATTGATTTTGTTATATATTCACATACATTTTTGTCTTGCATGTTCTAATTTTTTTCATTAAATATTTTTACAGATGAGTCAGATTCATCCGCCCTTCCTACATGCAAGTCCAAGACCAAGCCTCAAGTGGGCAAGGGCAACGGCAAGGGCGACAAAGGGAAAGGCAAGGTTCAGAATGATAACCCACCCCCTGGTGCACCATACAGAGGAGGCAATCGCTCGCTGGGTAGAGAGTAAGAAGCTCCTATATGACATGAAAGACAAACAGTACAAAGACAAGGCTTTAAGGAGGCAATTGTGGGAAGGAAAGGCTGCGGAGTACGAGGTAGATTGTAAGTATAAAAAATCACACTAATTACATTGAAATATTTTAAACCTATTTCAAATACATGATGTACATCACTGTAAATGAACACTTCAATGATTGTACTGATTTCTGTTATTGCAGATGATTCAATTCAGAGATGGTACAACACACAAAGGACTCGATTCTCGAAGCTGTGAGAGGGCCAACCCAACAAGAAATCCCAGCATAGGTCCGGTGATGGTTTGTCAAGTGGTCAAGAGGAAGATCCCAACCCTACTGAGGAGGCCAGTGAGAATGATAGTGACCGTGATAGGTTCATCTGATGGGTCTTTGGGTTCCTGAAGCCACACATCAGACGTCACAAAAAGGATACACCAGCTAGTGTGAGTATATTACAGAATTTGCATTTGTAAAATTCAAACTAAACTTTTTGATTTCTAAACATTTGTTTTCAAATATAACTGTAAAATGTAATTATGTTTGTTTTCTGTGTTTGTCTTTGCAGTTTAAGGACAAGTTGGCCCTGGCTGAGACGGGTGAGCTGGCTGGGAGTGACGACAGTACCATGGCAGTCAGTCTTGCAGACGAACCCAGAGAGCCCACTAAGAAGTATATTGGCTACCCTACACCGAGACCTCCTTCCAGGGCAAGAAGAGCTGCCAAGGACCGATCTGAGTCTCCAACCATGGAGATGAGCGCTACCACAGCATCCAATGATCTCCAAGATAGACTGGTTAACTTCATCACTCGAGAACAGGAAGTCATCAGAGCCACACCTTTCTGCAGGTACCTGGAAACTGGACTGGATCGTCTACATGATGCCTGCCTGGAAGCCGCGTATGATGAGATCACCACAGTACTTAACCAGTAGGTGTTTAAAACTGTATGAAATTGAAAATAATTTATTTGATGATGAATTTATTGCATGCAAAATTTGAGCTTGTATTAATTCTATGCTGTTTATGTTTGTCTTTTTAGTTACCGAAAGGTATCCAAACAGTTCAGAATGAGGGAAGTGGCTGGTAACAAGATCAGTCCCTTTGAAGATGTCCCGTCAGCATTCCAGTCACAGCAGCCACAGCAGGCCAGGTACTGTGATCCCTGTCTGCACATCTGCCACCAACTCCAGAGTAAGCCAACTTCAACAGGAGAGTGGTATCAACTACGCTGCCAGCAGAACTGCGTCCTCACCGTCAGCCGAGTTCCAGCCAGGTCCTAGCCAGTGGCCTAGGAACCCACCTTCGGCATCAGTGTGGAGATCACAGGAGTGTGGCTACGTGGAGCAGGCGAACCAACAGTACAACTTAGAACAACAGCAGCAGTACCATACCCTGCAGCCAGCCAGCACTTCTGCCCAGGGCTACGTACGCAGGCCAGATAGTCCTATTGTCTGGGAGTGTCCGGAACCCAGGTCCGGCATGCCCATAGTCACCAGAGTGGGCTTACCTTCTCTCGGCCAGTCTGCGTTTGTCCAACTTCATTCTCAGCCTCCTCAGCAGCAACCCAGAGGTCCTAGCCAGCTAACACCCCAGCAGACAACTCAACGTCCTCTTCCGCCCCAGCTTTCAGCTCAGCAGTCTCAGCACAGTGTGACACAAGATAGTCTCAGCCAATATCTAAACGCAGACGACAGTGTGAATATCAACAATGATATTGATCTCTCAGCTTTAGTGCCAAATGACGACATTGTCAACAACAGCAAGTAACCAGGAATTTAGAGACAGGCCCAGGAAAATGATCAGAGACAGTTTCAGAAAGTATCTGAAAAAATGAATAATTAAAATTGTCATTGATATTTTCAGACTTTGTTCTTATTTTGCTCTTTATCCTTACTTTAGTTTTAAAGTAAAGATGTAAAGTTAAATGTTTTGTCCAATATCTCAATTTAAAGTCCCAATTAGGGATTTATATACTTGAATGTTTTGCCTTTTTCCTAAGTTTAAAATTCCCAGCAATGTTAAATACATTGCCCAGAGCCCTGAATAAAAACTTGAATTTAAAATCCCAAACCAAAATTCATACTAGCCTTTGTCATTAGTTAAAATTTTCGAGGAAGTTAAATCTATTGGCCAAGTTCTACACTAAGTATCTTAAGTTAAGAACGTAAATTAGAGGTGGAACGGTTTTTAATTTTCATGTCGTCAAAAAAGTAAAAGTTAATTTAATATGACTTTACATTTAGGAAACTTGGGATTTTTAAACTATCTATATGTTAGGCCTCTTTTCAATTAATGAAAAAGTACTTAAAAACACAAGTTTAAAACACCGCACAAATTTATTACTTTATACACATGTATGTAGTTACAATGCAAAACATGTATGTGAAAATATTTGCTTTCATAATCACAATGTTACTGTCTCTCTGTTCATTTTGCTGTCCCTCTTTGTCGGACATTACATGATCATCTTGTCCTGCCAAGGCACAGAACCAGCCACTGAGGTAAAGTAGTGGCCCAAGTATCCTCTAATTTGCCTCCCCTCCTTGGTTCCTGTGTTCCTTGCCTTCTCATGGTAAACATCTAAAAGTACTTTGTCATTTCTCCATGCCCCTGGGATGACATCCTGGTTCTGGTCTTCCACGTCCATCAGGTTGGTGTGGGTGGCTGGATATTTAAGTCTGATGAGATTGTGAAGGATCACACAAGTTGTAATGATTTTCCTGCATGTCTCGGGTCTCTGAGTCATGGTCCCCAGCAAGATTCGGAACTTGTGTGCCAGAATACCGAAGGCATTCTCCACTATACGTCTGGCTTTTGAGAGTCTATAGTTGAATATTCTCTTGTGGTGTTCCATGTTTCTGATGGAAAACGGGTTCATCAGGCGCTTGTTGATCGCAAAAGCATTGTTCCCAACTATATAGTATGGGACAGGAATGTCATCACCAGGTAGAGACTTCTCTTCAGGGAGATTAAACATGTTATTCGGACTCTCTAGGCCTTCCTTCAATTCTGATCCATTGTAAACACTAGCGTCGTTGCTGGAGCCATCAGACCCGACATCAATCCAAAGAAACTTGTAGTCTGCATCCACCAAGGCCATGAGGACAATAGAGAAGAAGCCTTTGTAGTTTCTGTACTCAGAGCCAGTATTCCATGGACAAGTGTGATCGCCACATGCTTGCCATCTAAAGCACCACAGCAGTGTGGAAATTGCCATCTCTTTTCAAACTGCTCCTCAATGGCAGTCCACTCTTCAGTTGTAGTAGGACACTGGATCACCTCAGCAACAAACTCAGCTTTGATGGCATTGCAAACTTTGTCTATGGCGAGGGAGATCGTGTTTGGAGCAACTCTGAAATTGTAGGACAGGCTTGGATAGTTGTCTCCGCAGGCCAGGTGTCGTAGAGTGATGGACAGCTTGAGACCAGGAGGAAGACACTTTCTATACCATGTGTCCTTCTTTTTTATTCTACCTTCTATCCGTTTCAGGACTTTATCGTAGAGGCCTTTGGGAAGCCTTGTATAGTTGTAGAAGGCCTTCTCATCCTCTGCTTTCAGTTCATTTAATAAAGTGGTATAGTGGCCATAGCGTTCTCTACGCTTTACAGACAGCCATTTCCTTACCCACACAGACCTCTGTTTTCTCCTTCGCCGCGGTTTCCCCGTGTTCTGGAAAATAACAAGCAAAACAAAATAGTACATTGTCAAATGCTACAAACACAAATAAATAGAAACGACAAGTTGAAATGAGACAATTTATACCTGTAAGAGGAGGTGCGGAGCCTGCAAGAGTTCCTCGTCATGTTTTCTGAGGTGCATCAAAAGAAGTAATGCTGCTGCCTTCTTTTTTCTTGTTTTTTCATTATCAAAGTATGTCATTCTGCTAGAACTGAATTGTGATTAAAGTAAAGCTTTGGTTGCTGTAGACGCCTTTGCTCTGTGTATTTGCTGACTGAATGAGGAAGATGCTCTGATACCGGCCTTTTATATATGCACGTTACCATAACACATGGGAAACGCTTGAGCTATTCAAATTCGGCTGTCTTCGCCGACACCGTGGTCCCATCTCGATGCCATCGTAATATAATACGATGTCCATACGCTGGCATTGCGAGGGCTTCACGTGGTCGTGTTGACTTCATGAAACAATCGGGCTGGTTCTTGTTTCCTTCGCATTGTCTTCGTGAGACGCTAAATGCCCGATGACACCGATGATCACAGGAAGTAAAGACGAAGATGACACGATTTGACAAGATGCCCTCACGATGGCCTTACGAAGGGCAAAATGGACACACGAATTTAACACCTTCGCAATGTGTTCGGCCAATTTTTTGACAGCCAAAGATTTTGCTACCACTCACGAAGTTGCTGCCGAAGTCTTAGAAACTCCACCGGCGCTCATACGATGGCTTAAGAAACCGTCACGAATGGCCCGATGTGTTTACGATCAGAGCCGAATTTAAACATTTCCTTTATCGTGTGACCATCTTTGCTCAATTTCGGGACAGTGTGACGCCAGCATCACGAAGTTGCTGCCGAAGACTTAGAAACTCCACCGGCGCTCATACGATGGCTTAAGAAACCGTCCCGAATGGCCCGATGTGTTTACGATCAGAGCCGAATTTAAATATTTCCTTTATCGTGTGGCCATCTTTGCTCAATTTCGGGACAGTGTGACGCCTGCATTAGGGATATTTTTACTTTTATATGAGCCGTTCCAAGCAAAAACCCCCCTTATGAAATCTGACAGAATTTTACGTCACAGTAGGAAAAGCGACGTCATTATTTTGCAACAAAAACTGCGATCAAAATATATTGCGCACCACAGGAGTTCGCGTACCTATCAATTTTACAGAAATTTTCAGTAAATAAAAAAGATACGTAATACGTATGATAATAACTTGTTATTATTATAGGTATTACGTATCTTTTTTTATTTACTGAAAATTTTGGTAAAATTGATAGGTACACGAACTCCTGTGCACGCACTGACTGCTTTCCAACTACATGCTATGTTTTAAGTCACAGAATTTTCTTCGTTGTGCTTTCTGCATATTTTCTTTTATGACTTTGTCTATTTCATAACATATCTGACTCTGATTGTTGTCAAACTACATGTGCATTACACATTAAAACAACCTAAGAGTGTTCTAATTCAATGCATAAAATTTGTCAACAATTCTGTTCCATGTATGATATACGTTTTCAGTTAAATTAAATAAAACATGCAACTGTTGTTTAAAATTCAGATTTACGACTCTTTCTAATTAACAACAATAAAAAATAATTACATGCAATGATGATATTGAGTGTAAAAATATTTTTAAAAAGGAAGGAAGGGAAGAGTAGTTTGAAATGTGTTTTTTTTTAAATCTGAAGTCTTGGCGAAAATTTATTGGACTTAATCACATGTCAGGAAAACTGCAAAGGAATCAACACCAATCAAAACTGAATGACAGAATTGTAAAACCACACCAATTCCAGATCTAAATCCGGGGTATTTTTTTATTTATTGTATTGTAGACCCAGAACCTCTTGGAAGAAAAGTGACACTAGATCAGCTAACAAAGCTACATTAATTGAAAAGACGTATATCCGACATTCTCCTTTTTTGTTATGTGTTGAAAAGATCGATAAATTGTTAATATTGTTGTAACACCCACTCCCCCCCCCTTCCTCCCACCACCACCACCACCAAAAAAATCATAAGAATGTATGTAATAAAGCATATATAGAAATAAATACATACATGTATCTCTTTTTACAAAATTTTTGAAGTTCTGAAAAGTACTGTATTTGACATGAACACCTACATTATTTATATATCTAATTCAGCTTGTCAAGTTATTCTCCCCCCCCCCCCCTCCTCCGGGCATCATTGCATGCTAATGTTAACAGTGAAAATTTAAATTACATTCAGAAAAAGAAATGCGGAGAGGGGCCCCCATGCAACCCCCCTGATTTGTTTTTTATGTGCATGATTGTAAGCAAAATATTTTTTCACCTGAGTGTAAATTGAGCGCAAAAAAAAAAAAAAATTCCAAAATATTTTAATCAGTTTGGATTTTCCCAATCGAATTCTCGTCTAATGTAGCAAGAAGTAAATGTTCGTAATTTTTACTAGGAAGATCACATGCGGGTGAACATATTCTTTTTATACATATTTTTTTCCGCATTACTAGATCTTGGAATATCAGAGAGCTAGGAGTATTTATCATATTATTAACCCTTTTGTCGAGGAGCAGAGGAGAAGATTTTCAAAGAATTCATGTATTTTCACTATATAATCAATAGAGCCCCGCCCTAACACCAGAACCCCTGACCCTGGGGCCATAAAATTCACAATTTTGGTAGAGGCACTCTTGCTCATCATAACTATGTACTTAGTTGGTTTATTTAATACCCAGGAGCAGAGAAGAAGATTTTCAAAGAAATAATGCATTTTCACTACCTACTTATTTAGCCCCGCCCTAGCACTAGAACCCCTGACCCCAGGGCCATGAATTTTACAATTTTGGTAGAGGACTCATTGCTGATTACAATCATGCAAACAGTTTGACTGCTTGATGTCCAGGAGTAAAGAAGAAGATTTTTAAAGATTGCATTAATTTTAGTGGTTTTGGCCCCACCCCTCAGGCCCCAGGGGGGCAGGGATCATGAAATTCACAATTTTTGTTCCCCTTCACCCATAGATGCTTTGTGCCAAATTTGGTTGAAATTGGTTCAGTGGTTGCAGAGAAGAAGCTGAAAATGTTCAAATGTTAACGCACGACGCATGACGGACGACGACGGACAAAAACA